GAGGCCTGAGGGGACGGTGAAGGACGAGGCCGCCGTGGGACGTTTGTCCGGCAGGGGGACCAGGGAACAGCCGAGGTGCCGGCGCGGAAACCCAGCCGGCCTCCACGGCGACGGGAGCGGGGGCGACCCAGCCAGGTGCTGCAAGCGTGGCAGTAGGGAGGAAAGGGGGGATTTTTTTTTTCCTCACCCTTAAAGCTTCTTCTGAGCCACCTAGGACTGTAATTACAATTTGAGGACCGTTGAAAACCTGATACAAAGCACGCATCGTATTCTCTCAGGTTGCTTTCTTTCTCTTCCCGCTGTTGCACGATGTAAGTATCAAGGAAACACTGGCAGCCCAGGCGGCCAACCGTACTCTGGGCTGCATCGGGAGAAGTGTGGCCAGCAGGTCGAGGGAGGTGATTCTGCCCCTCTGCTCTAATGAGACCTCACCTAGAGTACTGCGTCCAGCTCTGGAGCCCTCAGCACAAGAAGGACATGGAAGTGTTGGAGCAGGTCCAGAGGAGGGCCACAAAAATGATCCGGGGGCTGGAGCACCTCTCCTATGAGGACAGGCTGAGGGAGTTGGGCTTGTTCAGCCTGGAGAAGAGAAGGCTGCGGGGAGACCTGATTGCGGCCTTTCAGTACTTAAAGGGTGCCTATAGGAAAGATGGGGACAGTCTTTTTAGCAGGGCTGGTTGTGACAGGACAAGGGGTAATGGTTTTAAACTAAACCAGGGTAGGTTTAGACTAGATATAAGGAAGAAATTCTTTACCATGATGATGGTGAAACACTGGAACAGGTTGCCCAGAGAGGTGGTGGAGGCCCCATCCCTGGAAGCATTCAAGGCCAGGTTGGATGGGGCTCTGAGCAACCTGATCTAGTTAGCGGTGTCCCTGCTCATGCAGGGGGTTGGACTAGATGACCTCTAGGGGTCCCTTCCAACCCAAAACATTCTATGATTCTATAAGCACCATTAAGCTGCCCTGATACCCATGGGCCAGATTTTTACTGTTAGTGGAAAACAGGCCACCCTCAGGATGATGGCTTTCAACACATAATGCATTCATATTCATCACGGGATAAAGGCAAATCTGAATTACAGTCTCATCAGTGTTAGCAAATTTTCAGCATTCGTACGTGTACAGGTTTATAAAGTCTGAAAGAATTCTGCAGATGTCAACAGCTTGTGGTTGGTCTTCTTTGCCTGGAAAAGCGTATAATGCATGGTACTACTTAAATATAAAAAAAAAAAAGCAGCTTTCACTTAACATCTGTCACATTTGATCCCACAGAGATCCATAAATAAAAATGGTTTTTATGACATTTGTTATATTCCAACATCTTATCATAAAATATTTTGAGCAAATAGTATGTCCCCCAAATACCATGCATTTGAAACAGATGGATGAGATGCTCACGGGGAAGCAATTTGCTACTCTGAAGGAGCAAAGGTAATTTGGTCTTAGTCTCTCATAAAATGGAATAATTTGCTTCTGACTTTTCAAAAACTCATTTAGCTAGATGAGCACCCATACTGTACTTTTTACCATGGAAAACCAGATTTGCTAAGTTTCAGTACAAACACTGATTTGCTTCAAAGTTGTGAGAGTCTGCTGTGACTGTGTATAAATGTGCAATAAAGATGAGAAAATAAAACTCTAGTCAGAACACAAGTCCTTGTGGGTCTGGAAAGCTGCATGGGTGTAGCAAAAATGGACATCATAGCTACAGTGGTCCCTTTCTTTGAACTTAGTAAGAGCATAACTGAGTGTTAAGGTGAATGCAAGGAAGAAGGCTACACATTAAAAATGCATCACCATAAATGAATTGCTTTGAGAGGTGAAATTGTCATTTGCTATCTTCCACACCTGCACTGGTTTCCTCTCATTTGTTCTCCCATGTGCTCATTTTCATCCTTTCCCTTTCTTACCATATTCCTTTAATTCTTTCTCCTTGCAGTATAATCATACATTAGTCACACACCCGTATGTAATCCCATTCCTCTCTATTTCCTTCTCGTCTCTCAGCTCCCTGAAGTCTGCAGCGAGCACTGGGGACTTCCTTCCCTTAGCTCCATTGCATACTCTCATTCTGGCACTCCATTGAAACTGCTTTGTCAAGGTTTCTTTCAAAGTTCCTTTCCCAGGAGAAGCTCACAAGCTCAGAATGAAGATTCCCATCTCAGCTTCATTCAGACTCCTCGAAGTCTGCTCTCTTCTCCAGTATGACTGCCATCTTCTAGTTCTCTTAGCTCTTGGACCTGGTTGTTAGCATATTCAGTCAAAGCCTCCCTCTCTTTATAGGTAATTGTGTCAATAAATATTTATCTCATGACCCACTGCTTTATTTCTACTACAGCCATTAATCCTGATCCAAATTAAAATATTTTTATCATCTGCAGGCAGCTAACAGACAAGATGGTTTTATCCTCCTCCAGACTCTCTTGGCACCCATTTCTCTCTTCAATATCAATACCCATCTGTCTCCAAGGCCTACAGCTTGGTTGATGCTGTAGTCTTAGATCTCTCTCTGGATTCTCTGTTTCACATTATAGCTAGCTCCCTTGCAGACTTTTTCTTGTACAACAGCGCCAAAGCATAGCTTTTCCTGTCTATCCACACAGCTAAACATTTTTTTCTTGTAACATTCTCTTTGCTGACACTGACTGACACGATTTTGAGCTCTTCGGACTCCTGCTTTTGCAAAGGTCGTTCATCTGGCCCATATTGCTTTAACCCTCTTACCTAGCTCCTCCTGTCCACCTACTGACTCCCACCCTTCTCCAGGGTCCAACATAAAATGCCCTTCCTCATTTTGAGGAAGATTACCTCCCACTCTCACTCACTGCCAAAGATTCAGCTTCCAGACCAGGTCAACTCAGTGCTAGAATCTGACCATTATTTGTAAAATTCTCATGCAAGAAGTGATGTGGAAGGCTTTTTCCTCGAGCTGACCTTCCTGCAGGGCAAAAACTCCCTTAGAAGTGCACCAAGCTGTCCCATTATTCTTCTTTAAATCCTGTCCTCCCTTTTGCTAGAAAATCTATCCCCAAAATTGATATCAAGTTGATGGTTGATGAACTAAAACCACCATTCCTGGAGCTGACCACTATGCTGTTGCATTGTTTCCTTGTCTAGTCTGTCTGTCTGCATCCATGTATTGTTTCTTACCTATTCCTTGATTGTCAGTGGGACTGGATAGAGTCCTTATTCTTCATAGGATCATAAAATAACATTGGCTGGAAGGAACCTTTGTACATCATCTGGTCCACGTCACTACTCAAAGCAGGACAAATTTAGTAGTTGGGTCAGATTGTGCAGGGTCACTTTTGCTTTGTGACAGAGCGTATGACCTCTTGGCAGACTTGAGGACACAACTGCAGAGGCACCCTGCAGTCAGCTCAGAAGCATGATTCTCAGCCAAAGGACTGAAAAAGGGACCAAAACCAGTGTGTCTGTGTGTTTTCCCTTAAGCTTCCAGCATTCCTATATTCATCTGCACGGTCAGTCAACAAGAATAGAAACACTGAGTGGGAACTGGAGAATGCTAAGATGCAGACTCCACATAAGATGTGAACAGTGAGGAACACCTACTGTACACCCCTTGCGAGGGGAGAAGGGGTTTAACACAATGGGTTTACATATCTGTACACATAATCGGAGTTCTTTTGCCAAACATGGAACTACAACTGTGAAAAATGGCAAAAGCGCTCTTCAGAAGAAGGATAAGAGCAAGGGATCACTCAGCAGGGGACAGGCTAACACAGAGAAACCCAGAATAAAGTTTTGAAAGAGATGGAGCTGTGAAAATATCCAGGAAACTGAATTATCTCTAGACTAATTTTCTTTACCATTTTAATCTAGGTAAATATTTAATCTGTTAGGACTGGTTGTTGTTGCCAGACCTGTGCTAAGGTAATCAGTATTTGTACCAGGGAGTTGTAACTCAAAACCTGACAAAAAGACGTGACTATTTTCCATTATTCTCTAAGAAAAGCAGTAGCGAGGGCTTTGGAGACTAGGCTTGGAGAAGACAAGAGGTATAAGACAGGTACAGTTTTAAAATATCATTGACCAGCAAATACTTGAACATCCCTGAAGCTCAGTGGAGCGTGAATGCTTACAGAAGCATCATGGAGTTCTGGGTGAGCCTTGAGCAAAAGACATGGAAAAAACAACAACCTGACTAAAACCCTGGCTTTAAAACATTCTTGATCTTTGGATTTAGAATTGTTCCCAGACCTACTCAGCATGCAGTTGAAAAGGCAGAGATTAGAACGAAGAAAAGAAGCTCCTTCGGTCTTCAAATATGTACATGCATGTACTTTAAAATGTATGTGCAGATGGGGCTATCATTTTATAAATACACAGGTATACAGCAAAAGCAACATAGCAGTAATTCTGAAAAACAGCTTTACAGAGAAACGTTGTATGCCAATGGCAAGTGCATTTTAGCCAATAGAATGGTTAAGAACATAACATATTTATCTTTATTTAATAAAGATATTTTAAATCTCTGATTTTCAAGAATTTCCCAAGAAGCACCGCAGCAGAGGAAAAGATAGCCTTCAAAGGCTGTGAAACAAGCCCAAAATGAAAAGCTTTCACTCCTGTTCTGCAACCAGAACAGGGAACAGCACAGCATTACCTGAAGGAGCTGTCAAATAAGTAGAGAATTAAAAGATAAATCCCATTTGTGTTAGTGCTGAACATCAGTTAATGCTTGCATTTCCAAAGCTAGTAAAATTTTGTTGGAAAACATCACTGGACTATATGGTACCAAAGTATGTGTGCAAAGTAATCGGATTTTTTCGGAAGAGTGTCATTCATGCAGGGCAAGGGACTAATCTTCAACTAGTCATCTATTTAAAGCATTAAGATTCAACACATTTGTTTCTTATCTGGCCTTAGGACCACTCCAATCCTTGAAAATCATCCATCACAGCTTGGTATCAGTCCCACTGAATTGCACCCCTGAGGTTGAAATTAATCCTTACTAAGCAATAGTTCTCACACAACCACCAGGCTTGTTCTTTTTGTTTTCCAGAGAAGTCTTCTCTCAGAGGTGCCTTAAAGTCAAGCTTGAGACTTCTTGGTCTTAGCATTGAGACTTTACTTTCCTTTGAGGGAGATGTATTCAATGCAGCTCTCTTCTTCCACCAGACACAGGAAAGGAGTTTCTGCTCTAAGTTTCTTTGGTGAATGATCAACAGGTCCCACAGGAGCGTTCCTAGGTCTCGTGTCCTACCACTCTGCCCTCAGTGTCCCAGTCAGTACTTGCCTCACTGGCCTCAATCTGGCAAGAAGGCCAGAGTGTTTCAAAGAGCTCTTGGTCCCACAGAAGAATTTACCCTGTGAGATACATGACCACTTTCTAGCTAGTTGCCAGGTCTACTAGCCATCCCTCTTGGGCCCTTCCCCCTTGTTCTTTTGCAAACGATCATTGCATAACAATGAGCATATAATTATTCAAGATGGAGGGCAAAACGACTCTTTGCTATCAGGTTGCAATATCACAGGATCAGAGAGAGGTTGAGGTTGTCAGGAACCTTCAGAGATCATCTAGTCCAACCCTCCTGCCCAGGGCCGATTGCAAATCAGATTGCAGAGCAGAACAGATCAGATCATTCAGGGCCTTGCCCAGTTAGGTTTCGAGTATCTCCAACAATAGAGACACCACAACTTTCCGGGGCAAGCTGTTCCAGTGTTTGGCCACTCTTAGAATGAAAAAGATTTTTCTTGCACTTATATGGAATTTCTTGCATTTCAGTGTGTCCATTTCATCTTGTCCTTTCACTGGACACTGGGAGAGTCCAGCTCCACCTTCTTTACTCCCCCTCATAATGTATTTTTAAGTGTTGACAAGATCCCCTGAGCCTTCTCGAGACTGAACAGTCCCAGCTCTGTCAGCCTCTCTTCATATGACAGATGGTCCAGTCTCCTAATCGTCTTTGATAGCCCTTCACATGCCTCGCTCCAGGATGTCCATTATCTCTGTTGTACTTGGGAGTCCAGCACTGCCAGAAGTCTCTCACCAGGGCTGAGGAGAAGGATCACCTCCCTCAGCCTGCTGGTGGTGCTCTTCCCAATGCAGCCCAGGATGCTGTTGGCCGCCTTTGCTGGCTCATAGCCAACTTGTTGTGCACAACACTGATCCTTTTCTGCAAAGCTGCTCTCCAGCCAGTCAGCCCCCAGCCTGCAATGGTGTGTTATGTTATTTCAGTTTACAAACCCGAAAGATGCACAACACCAAATTCCATAGGCTGGCATAGTGCTAGCAGGTCCCTCCCCCTTCTCCATAAGCCCATTAAGAAAACAATGGGGCAGTCTGTAGCTCTATGCTAAAGTCCAACCTTTCACACATTACACAGATGGGAATCTAAGAAGGAGGGTATCTTCAGTTTGGTGGCTCGCTCTTCATTGAATTTTAAGTAGCCATCTGCTCTAATAAAGAATCTTCTGCCACATAAAGGCAGTCACAGCACCTCAGCCAGCAGCGAGCGCGCAGGCAAAAAGTGTTCCTGGCTTTCCTGTGGTTTCTGTTGCTGTCACAGCTGCAAGCATAGCAATTATTGCTATGCTAAGAGCTACAGCAGCTGCTATTGTTATTGTTCACACAGCTATTTCAGCACAGTTCCAAGATCCATTCCTGTATTCAGAAGCATCAGCTGCCCACATGCTCAACCGCATAAAAACCTGGCCCGCACAAGAGAAGTGTAGATTCTGTCAAGTCCTTCCATTACAGGCTTAATTTGTACAAACAACCCCCCACCCCCAGCACAGAAACAAAGATAAGCAGTGCCAAAGATACCTTTCCCTTTGACCTTTTTTCCTGCTCACAGGAAATGGATATATTTCAAACCTTCCTTTGACAGATGCAACCCACAATTTCTCCAAGCTACTCCAGTTTGTCACAGACCACGAGCAGACAGTAAACGGGGTGCTGTCCCAGACTCTGGGTGCAGCAGGACACCCAGGAGGAAGCTGCAGATCAGGCTTCTTTTGAGTTCTTCACGTTCTAAGAGGTACCAGCCCTTAGTATGAATTGTGTTATAGATAACAAAGGAGATACGCCAGGGTTTAGCTGCCACATGCTCTTGTTTTCCACATACAGGAGGAAAAGGTAAAAAAAGAATCCTCCTGTCCTACTCTACAACGAGGAGAGCAGGAGAGAGGTGAGGCTCTGGCTACATCCACTCAAGTCAACCAAGAACGCCCAGGGTACTGACCTACAGTCAGCCTTGCTGTTTAATCATTAGCGTGCTCTTTCCTGTAACCATGGCCCATACCATTTAGGTTTCTCACAGACTAATACCTAGACACAGCACAGGGAACAGCACAGCCACTCCAAGCAGGCAGCATGTAAATATGATTTAAAGGGCAGAAGAGGACTTAGCCACCTGGATGAAAGCTGTACCATGCCATTTGCTCTCAAGGCCAGAGCTACTTATGCAGCTTGGTGTGATTTATTTGCCAGTAAAAACATAGCCTCTGGTACCAGTTAGGATCTTTGCGACTCACAAATTGTCTCTACCTCAGTGTAGAAACTAGGAAAGGAAGATGCGATAGCCTTTTTACCTGTTCCTCTAAGAAAACATTAAAAAACCCCACTAACCTGCACAAGTAGAGCATGCAAGTATCATAACGTTCCATGCTTGGCTGCCTTCTACCACAAGGTTAGGCAAGAATAGGGGCAGAGAAATTAAGTACACATAGACTGAAATTAAAAGGAAGGAAATATCTTTCCCCACCAGCATTTATTTGTATTTAGAGTGTGAAGGCATGGAGATATGACAAGACATGAAGGCAGTACAGTGGACAATGAGCTTTCTGCAAGTATTTGCACTATGCCACATTTTGTATATCCATAGCCACAGCTGTGAGTTCTTGTTTATGAGCCTGAATTTTTTGATATGCATATCAAGTATTAATAGAATTCCAGAATATGAAACAACCCAAAACATACAAGACTTGTCATAAGAAAACATTACAGCTGGTACAACTGATCACAAACTTACAATAGCTTTGTTCTCTCAGTGGGACAAGAAACTTATTTTTTTAATATAAAAGAAGCAGAGCATATACCAACATGAAATGCTCTGCATTTGTCATGCAAGGAGAGATTCATGATTGCATCAGCCTCCACAGAGACTAGCTGGAAGCTATCCGAGAGTGATGACTAAACAGAAACTGATCTGTTGTTTGCCCATCAGCAGGGACTAGCATTGCCAGAGCTAAGAAAGCAGAAAGCAAAGCAAAATAGTAGTAACCCCATCCCTCGTACATATGCGCTACACCACCGCCAACAGGCACCGCTTCCCGGAAAGAGCCGGAAACGAATGGAACAATTGTTTTAGGGTGGGGGCAGTCAACACTGTGTTTCATCACAGCCATTCAAAAAGCAATGCTAAGGATGGGTCCATACTACTAACACAATACTGCCTTCCTGCTTAGCTTGCCATCACAATCCGCTTCAGAAATCACTCCATTTCCCAAACTGAAATCCGTAGCTCCCTGAAAAAGAATCAGTGTCCCACAGTGCCAAGCACTGCACTATTCACATACCGAAATGATGATCAAGATTTCTTGAACACTCCCACCAAAGTACAATTTTGTGTCATTTTAAGCCTCAAACCAACTTCTCTAACCAGTATGGGTAAGCTTTATGTCTGAGGATTGTTTTGCCTACTCCCATGTCACAAAACAATGGGCAATCAGAGGTACATTGGATACTCTGCTGCCTCTTTCAATTTGAAAGAGTCACCATAGGACTCCAATTGCAGGGTGTAACTACAGGCAGCACACTTGCTCTTCACCATTTAACACAGCCCATTTAACGAGAGATGCTGACAGACTTTGGGAAGACTAGACCTGTAAAGGAATTACATTTACTTTCTTAATCTACTTAAGATTTTAGTTTCTTGACCAAAAAAATCTCACCAAATAGAAAATCCACTTTCTGATGCAAAGATAGTAGGCTATAGCTACTGACTTTTTGAAAGTGCAAGTGAAAGGGCCAAGAACAACCAAAGCAGGAACTGCGCAAACTCCCTTATCCTGCCCTGCTTTTCCTGTTGCTTGCTGTTTTCATTCACAATGCCCATCCAGGTCAAATCCACAGCAATTGTCACTAGGGAAGTGTGCACAAACATTCATTGTGGAGGTAGGACATCAGTAGGATACAAACACGTAATTGGAAAACTCCTGGTCCTGAGCCTTGGTTCCATGGTTTGACTTGGTTTTGCTGCTCCCCTAGCAGACAGGCAATGTGCCTGGGCTATCATTAAACTGGCAAATGTGGTTCAACAGCAACCGCTTCTTCCCCATGAACTGTTCTGGGCTGCCGAAGGCCAGTTTTGAGCATCAAAACCGCATTTTGATGGGTCCCTGGTCACACTATAGTCTCTGGGGTGTATGCTAGCATAACGTAGGACAACCTCACTGAGCCTGCTTTAGCATCTTAAAGCCATCTTTCATCACATCAAACAAATTTCTGAACCCATTGGAGTATTTGTAACATAAAACACCTGCAGCCTCAGTTTTTACCAAATCTCTGTAAGCCAGGCCATTGACCCCAACCTCCAGTAATTTTCAGGGCCACTTTATTAGACTGTTCATCAAGTTTCAAATTATGTGACTTACTAAAATGTAAGAGAACAAGTTTTCATGTATGATTGTAACAAGAATTTCCAGCTGTTTTCTTGCATTGTTTTTCAGTATGTATTTTTTGCCCTTTCTGTTGATCCATTTACATGCATTTACACTTTTCATATTAGGCATTGATAGAACAGCAGTCATGCTGAAGGCGTTCTTGTTTCCTTAGTTGATCGATCATTTGGAATTAACTTATCACAGAACTACCTTCATGTAAATGCACTGGTATATAAAGTACTCTAAAAGATATTTAAGAACTCCAGCTGCAGCAATGCACTAGGAAATTTTTGTGAAGCCTCGGCTAGCCACTATTTTTTAATACGTTTTTTCAAAATGTCTTTTATCCACAAATGCCAAATAGAATATTCCTACAATGTTTGACAATGTCAAGTTACCTGGTATTAAAAATGCTGTGTCCTTTTGAGTATTGACTTTTGCCCTGCTAACGTTTTCTCTGGGTTCAAAGATAAGTATTCTATTTGAATGAGCGCGATAAGCTCAATGAAATTATCTGATGAGAAAAATCCAGTAAAACAATCATTATAACACCTGTATGATCAAATAACACTGACAGCACTTAAATCTCTAGGTATCAAGTGCTTTCCTCTTCTCTTTCCACTAAGAAAAGCCTGATTAGGCAGTTTATGCTTCCTGTTCTGAAAAAGAGAAACCACTTGTTCTCCTCCACTGCAAGTCCCAAATTTGTTGACCTTTCAGAATGGAGTGATGGTTAACTCAAGTTAACTTCAAGGGTCTGCAATTTAACAGTTTCAACAGCTCAAAAAAAACGTGTTACATGAGTTTGGATCTGCCACAGGATACCAACTACTTAGCAACAGATGAGAAAGTGGTCCTTGCTCTCTCCAGTCCTCTCGACTTGGAGGTCTCCTAAGTCACTTCCAATAGCCAGGAATCAGGAGTCAGGTACCAGAGGGAGCAAGGATTCACTGTTAAACTTCCAATACTCTCTTCACTAGTTTGGAGGCAGGATATGACCACTTGCTGGGGAACACTGTTGCAATTACTGCTACTCATCATCCTCCCTTGTCATGCTTTCAAATTGCATTGCTTCTGGCTGACTTACAATGAAGTATTAAAACCCCTTGCAAGAGATCAGCGAGACTAGATACTAGATATGTGGGAAAAAAGTGACTTGTCAGGAAATAAGAAAAACTTCTCTAGAGAAAAAACAATGTTCTCAAACAAAGAGGAACTAGTTTATTACTGCTGTAGTACCTATCACCATCTAGAAGAGCTGGATTAGCAAGCAAAGAATGTGTGTATTTCCTTTCTTGTACAGGGGGATCTCCAGTATGGAGTTTCCTGTAGTAGTAACTCATTACCAACGAGGATCAGTGCAGCCAGCAAGCAGAAGGGGAGGGACAGAAGCCCTCTCTGCACATTCACTCTGCAGATGCATCAGGTCACGATTGCCTGAGCATGCAAAGCAGTGAAAATAGATGGAAACAATTATTTTTTGCAGTCTATCTTTCAACATCCTGGTATTGAATAAATAAAAACCAAAGCTCCACACTGTCCCGTGGAGTATGAATGAGTACACAGCTCCTCCCTACAGGCACAGACATTATTTTAGGGCTGTAGAACATACCAGTTAATAGAAGGCTTTGGCCAAGTTTGGTAAACTTAAGTCTTGGGAAAAAAATTAAGAATCAAAAGAGATCAGCGTGAAATAAGTTTTCAGTTTAGAAGTAGAGCAATTTATCATTTTAATCAGATTACAGTAAAACTTAAAATACTTTGGCTTGGAGAAAGTTATCTTGGACTGATTAATACCTTTGTCATAATGGTGACAGTTTCATAGATTCTCACTTTTCAAGCCATCTCAAGACAAGAAACATTTAAGATCCTCCACAACTCTCAAAACTGTTTCTCCATCTCGTTCTGCTCAATACAATGGCCAATGACAGCTCCAAAAAAGTAAGAGGGAAGAATATACATTATTATTTGATAGAAAAAGCCTAAAATCAGTAGATGGCTACATCACTGAGATGCACAGGTTTGTCCTAAATAGAGGAAAAATCCTGGTGTTGAGCAGAATCTCCCAAGGAGTAGCATGAGCAGCAATGCCCAGCATAGTTAAAAGAGTTAGTTTTGGGGCTGTCTTTGTTGAGCTTGTTCAGCACCTAGTGCCAAGGATCTCGGTCTTCATCTGCAACTCCTTGGCACAACTGCAGTAAAAGTTATCCTCACTGCAAGATATATTTCCTGACTTGTCAGGGGAAAAAAAAAAAATCCTAAGATTTGATGCAAACCAAGATTAGCAAAGCCAATTAACTGTAGAATATGCTAATTTCAGCCATTTAATCAAGTTTTAAGTAGGTTAGCATTATGTCTGAAAGCCTGTTCAAAGTTAGTTGTGTTCTCTTTAGTGAGGCAAAAATGGTGTTTCACAAAAGGAAAAACAACCTAGGAAGTAATCTTAGAAAAGTCTTGAATTAGGCAACTCCATTCCTGAGAAGACATGCTAGCAACTCCACCAAGAAATGGTTAACCCCGCACCTCACTCAGCAGCCCACTACCAGCACCTTCAGTTTTTCCTGCCTGCTTTTTTCTTTCTACTTCTCCTTTTCCTTCTACAAAAAGCAGAAAAGTAAGAGAGGTGCCTGGCTCCAACTCTTATTCCCATGCTCCATCATTCATACCACTTAACTGCTTTCAGCTTGTGGAGATTCCTGACATCCATTTATCCTCAAGCAGGACTCCCATTCCTCTTACCTTCTTTAGACTGTTTTTTTCTGACAGCATCCAACATTTTCAGAGAACTCCATTTGAGCTCCAACCACCTTCCATGACCTCCTATCTTTTTGCAAAGCTTTTTTTTCCTCTGGCTTGGAATCTGAAGTAGAAACTGAGTCACTAGGTTCTTCAAGAGCTGTAGGCAGAGATACAAGTTAAACACCTAGAGCGATAAAAGTGGCAGGATAAAGAGGGCTAAGGGATACTTTCTAATGTGGTAGTAAGCAAGAATGCCTGTTCACAATGCGTGAACATTGAACAAAAGCAGGTAATAAAGGCAGCCCTCAATTACTTAACCACTTCAAGAGACTAGCCAATACAGTTCCTGTGGACACTGGATGTCCTCTTCTTGGAACGATAGGCAAGATCACTGCAAACCAGATGAAGTCACCACCCTCGATCTTTACAGCTAGTTACACTCACCTCCAAGTACTACACCTCTGAATTTATTAGAGCGTCCCCATCTGAATCAGCTTATCTGGTCTTTTATAACTTCTGAACTACAGCCTAAGTACAATAAGACAGTGTTCATAAATAACTCCTAACAGCAGTACATACTGCTGCATTGAAATGTTTGGACTTTGGTTTGTTAGGTTTTATTTCAGCAAGTTTCCAGCAAATGCAAGACTCTTGAAAACTAAGCCACACTGTAGCAACGCCAGGTTACTTCAGTAAGATCCTGCTCAAATCTACATATTACATTAATCAGTCTAAACAATCCATAATGTTTTTACTTGTGTCTTGGAAACCAACTTCCCTGACTTCATGAAGCTGTACTTCTTTTGTATGGTAATACAATACCCTGCTAAGCACAGGTTTTAAGTTCCATAAATAAAGTCCAACCAAACTGCAGCTTAGACAGGGAGGTTTCTAGAGAGTATTTTTCATGCTGTAGCTTAAGTAAGAAGAGTAACACCTGAGATTTTATTTCAAAAAATATTTTGCTAATGGAATCTTTTTAATCATACAAAATGGTAAGCTTCCTTACCCCCACCTAAGTTTTCAGTAGTAATAGCTTTAGTTTTCTAAGAGACTTAAGAGTTAGTATCAACATGGCTTTGTTAGTTTTGTAACGGACAGAAGTCACACAGAATGCCCCTACTACAGAATACACTAAAGAAAAACTCTTTAGCTGCAGGCAGAAAGATACATTCTACACACTGCTTCTCCTTCAAAGCAGTCAAACAAAACATTCTCTTGGGTAAACGCCTAGTATTAATTTCCAGACCTGAACTGCATCTGTTCACTTCAACAAAGTGGAGAAAGCTCTGTTCAGGGGAGAACACATATGCTCTCTCCCTCACAACTCACCTGCTTATCAAGTCTAGCTGAGGTTGGGTTGTTTGTTTTTCCGCACCTCTGCAAAAAATGAAGTTTGAATCAAAAAATCCAGAACTCCTATTATGAGGAGATCCCAGCCTTGAACACAGAGTCTTGCCAATGTCACCCCTCACATCAATACTGTATCACTTATAGGACTGACATTCCTCTAACTGTATGGATTTGAAGGTACTGGTTTCAGATCAAACTGACCTGGTCTTCAACTTTGGCAAGGCTCACTTAAGTTAGGTGTAATATGAGAATGTTAACTTAATGGTGTTGCTACACATATACACATGTAATAATGAACTTTAGATTCACACCAAAGCTCTGTGCAGTCAGGAAACTTTATCTTCACCAGCATGAACAGATCGCCTTTGTTCATCATGCATACACACAGGTCAGAAGAGGACTGCAACGGCAGCTTAAGAGAAAGTATCTACACCACAGCTTAGGCAGAAAGGGAAAAAATGCACCAGGACCAGTCTGTAACAAAGCCATCTATTATTCCAGAGAAAATAAAAATCAGACTGAAAACAGTACATTTGTCTTACACGTCAGAGTGATTAGTTACTACTGGTCCTTTTGTGCATCGGAACATACCCACACCATTCAATGCATTCATATGCAATGCTAATTCTACCCTTCAGAAAAAGGAAGGCCAAGGAATATTCTATTTTGTCATAGACATCACCTTTACTGTTTTTTCCAAGCATGACAACTTAAGTAAAAAAAAGTCAGAGCATAAAACATTTTGAAGTTTCAACTACCACCATTTGTGATCCCTTGATAGTTTATACACTTTTTGTGACAACCCTCCTCCCAAAACTTAAGTGGGCTTCAAAACACTTTACAAGAGAAAGAGCAAGTCAAGAGTAAGTTCAGTTCTGTCTAATAACCCCAAAGTTACAATTACATCTGGCAAGTTTCACATCATCCATTTAATCACTCCAAATCAGACTCACTTCTAGTTAATGCCAATTCATTTGTTCACTCAAGCCCTGTGATACAGGGGAAAAAATTATGCTTATTAATAATTTATAATGCTGTCTTGGGACACAAATGTATTGATGCAGGTTAAGAGCTTCCCACGCATCTGGTTTACTGGCTACCAGACAGACAAGGGCTAAAGTTGCTTTGACTTTCTAGGGATATTCTGAGAGGCCAACGTAACTGCAGAGGCAAGATATATGCATGCACCAACTGTTTTAGCTGGGAGTCAAACACCTCAGTGCTGAACAGCAGTCTAAGGAAGCATTCTCTTCCCACTAAGGGGATACTCTAAATACTGCTGCTTGCCCGAAAAGGCTTAAAAGAAAATGCTGTAGCTATGAATGTACCAAAAAAGAGCTGTTTTCAGGTAGGGGGAACAGAATGAGCAATTCAACAGTACACATGAAAAGCTTGCATCTTTCACTGACTTATTCACTTCACAACCACTGACAAGACTGATGTACATATTTCTGCACCTGCAATTGTAAAAGCAGATAAAATATTTAATATGTAATTTACAATGTATTTTACCAGCTTGGCATACAGGATGAACAGAATATATCAAAGTAGTTGACAGTTATAGGCTTGTGGAGGCCCTGCAAAAATATTACTTCAGATATCTGCTAATTTAAAAAAAAAAATCAATTTGCATTTTTAGAAGTGATACAATTCAATCTACCACAAAATACAAAGAGCTGCAAAAACGTATACCATTCCAACAACAATGTATATAAGTTATTAAATAATGATCTGATTTAAAAGAATATAAATGAAGCCTTTAAGTAGGTCTTTTCTACATGCATATTATTCCTCATTAAAGAAAAATATGTAAAAAGGCCATTGGTAATTGCTTTGTTAACCACTGTAGAAAATGCCAATTCTCTGGTCACAGACGCCACTAGTTTAGCACTTAAGGTCTCTGCAGTGTTACATGTGATTATTTTTAAATACTGTTAATTCTATTACTCCATTGGTAAAGAATGCGTGACTTCGAATATGGCAGTCTTCATATTGAGAGGGCAGTGATGCACAGTTTTATAATTATCCAGAAGAACAGCACCCTCCACTGCTCTGTACTTGTGGCTCATCATCAATGATCTGTACACCTCGCCTTGCTATTCCTGACTGACTGGAACCATTGCCTCTTGCTCTTTCATCCACCTGAGCCGTTTCTATCATTCCTGTAAAGGAAGAAATTTATTAGATTATATTCCACTGCATTTTTACACAAGACTAAGATCTTCATCTAGTTGAGTTACATGCACAAAGTTCAGCAAGACTGGTTCTTCTATTACGCAGAAAGAAGTACTCCGGTACCACATAGCATAACTGCAAGAACATACTTAAATCTTCTTCCTAAAGTACCAAACATCCAGCAGCTCCTGCTGACTAAGGGAGACCTTAGGTGCTTAGATGTTCTTGGAGTTAGTGGCTTCAAAAGCTAGATTTACCCACCTGTATCAAGCCATTCTGTTAAAAAAGAAAAATAAAGAAACCCCACACAGCACAAATGCACCATCCCACCCACCCCCCCCCAAAAATCAACCCAGCCTGCTCTTCAGACATGCAGGTAAAGTTTTGCTTAAATTCTTGTATCATAAGAATGCAATGATTAGGACAGTGTCCCTCTGTTGCAACGTTTTTATCCTACATCCCATGATATTTACCATTTGCTTAGACTGCTGTGTGAAATTTGCATCATTACAACTTCAAGTTTATGCTTTGTAATTGATATCATTTGAGAAGATTTTTGGAAGAGGTTGAAACAGGTCATTTGAAGCAGGCAAGAGAGAGACCAGTCACATGAAATTTGACTTGAGGTTACTGTTTTTCCATACTGAGTGAAACAGTGGTCTGTGCTCCATGCTCCAACAAGTGACAAAAAGGCACTTTTGGAGTACAACATGAATTTGCAATACTGTAAGCATCCATACATCGAGCTTCCATAGCTGTTACAGTACACAAGTGGCTGGAAGTAGACTCAGGTGAAGTCAGTTCTTAGTAATAGTTTACATTAAGGCTTTTCTATAATGTTTTAAGCATTCTGAAGCCTTGAGCATTTTGTGAATGAGCTCTTTTACCAACAAACTAGTTAATACCTACTTTTACAAAGGTCAAGAAACAGTTCTTCAATTCCTTTGTTCTGTTTAGCTGAAGTATGATAATGTTTTGCTCCAACAGATTCAGCATACCTGTAGGAATGCAGATACAGAACTTCATTGTACTAAAGGACTCAATCTTTCTAAGCCACCTTACATGAAGCAAAAAGATGATTACAAGAGGTTTTATTCCGAGTTCAGAGTTAATCTATACATGCTGATTTAATGTAAAAAGGGAATTATGTGGTTAAAACTGCCATGACTGATGAAAACACTAGATGAAAAAGTTTCTTGTCTATAAATGCACTTAAACTGCAAATGTTGACTTTAATCATGTACAATTCTCAGGTTATACTTTGGTCAGTAACGACAGATACTAACAGAACACTTAACACAGCAGCCAGCTAGGCACTGCTGGTTTGTGCCTGCCAGTTGTTAACAGCATCACAAGTTTATTACTCCAGCATAATTCTGCGATGACTGTTTCTATTAATAATTGGTATGACTTACGTTTCTGCTTCTTGCACTGAAACATGTCTCTCTTTTTCCAAGTCTATTTTGTTACCTGTTGGAAACAAGTTAATCTTTCAAGTCCTTGTACTCCAAAATTACCCAAAAGAAAGCAGTCATGTAATCATTGTACCCCATCATTTTCTTACAAGCTGTCCCAGTAAATATCAACTCTTACACAGGTCTCAATTTGGAGCACAACAATATGATTTAAGAATCCCCTTTCACTCAACTATTTACAGGCAACAAAGATGAAATTCTACTTCTGCAGTGAGATCAGGATAGCTAAATACCTCCCTATAAGCCACTGATTCAGCCTTCTGCTTTTCTTTTGGAATTTATTAGCAGCTTATCTGTGCTGCAGAGGTAGTTTTTGTAGAATATCCATACATATATCCTCCTAAAAGTACTTTAAACACTAGATCCAATTTTAAATCTAAACCCAGTATTTCTGCTGCATTCTGTTTGCATTGAAATATCCAAGCTTTAAGACCCATTCCACACCCCAAGCACTTGATTATCAAAACAAACATCCAGTCTATGCCACTGAGAACAGTAAAAAACCGTGATATTTGAGTACTTGCAAGAAGGATAATGCACATTTGATGTTTATGTTTCTCTTTGCAAACTAGCCTGCAGGTATCTGTACCATGCACTTCTGACATGGTGTATCATTAAACAGCTTGTTTTTCAAAACTAGCTCTTATTTTCCTTAGTGTGATCTACTGAAACTTCTAGCTTCAACTGAATTATAGATACAAAATTAACATAAGCTTTACCCCTTCACATGTACAAGCTGTCAAAGCAGTGTTTGGAAGATGCTATTAATCAAAAGAAACATTTCCGATTCAGTCATTAGAATCACATGTTAAAAAAAGACTTACCTACTATACATAAACAGATTTCATTTCCCAACATTTTTCTTAATTCCTTAACCCAGTTTTTTACCTGCAAAACAAGAGGTAATTTTTAGAATTTTAACTAAAAAAAAAAAATTATTTTCACTTAATAATATTACTAGCTTAGGCATTGCAGAACTCACCCATTTCTTTCATTAACTGTTTAGTCTAAACTTGAAACAAACATGTTTAGATCAACATAGATGGACAAAATATTCTTTAGATAGCTACACATGGCTCTTGTTCAGTTTTTTTTTGAAATTAAGAGGAAATGACTTAGATAAAATGGTTCAATTACTCCAGAAATATAACTCACCACACTCGTGTTAGCCCCACTCCAAAGAGCAAGTTCACTGCATTGGCCACTTTAGGTCAGGCATGAGATCTTTTATCAACTGGCACTTACTGACAGATCACAAAGGGTACTTTAAAGGTAGAGGTACCTGAACTGAGTTGTTCAGGTTAGATTATAAGAGATGTTTGTTTCCTGAGAGAACAGATGGGACAAGAGTGTAAAGTCAGCTGATGGTAAAGTATTTGTTATCGATTCTGTTGTCATGGTTTGAAGTTGTATGATGACTGCATTGACTTAGGGACTGCTATTTTAAGGGAATTTAAGTCGTGAAGAGAGGCAATCACTTCAAGAACCTAAAAATAGTTAGGATACATGATACAGAGGTATTTAGGCAATAACTACTGCAAATTTTCCTTCCCTCTCTTGTTCTGAGAATTGAAGTGTTTTGATATCACAAAATGTTACTAAGAAGAGGTCAGCATGAAATATATTACACTATTTCTATCACTGCTAAACCAAGCTTTGCCCACAGAACGGTAATTTCTTACTCCTCCACACAGAAGTCCTACTGGTTTTGCCATAGGGTAATTGGAGACAAACTCACTTATGAAAGAG